AGGGGCTAAGACCGGCATGCACCGCGCTTGCGGGGGCGGGGGCGGGGCAGACTCTAGGGACCTGGGCAAAATTACTGAGGCTGGGAGAGAAACAGGACGAGGCCAAGGGATCAGGTTAAAATTCTGGGCAGGCAGAAACAATAGACCGTGAAGAGGAAGGGCTATCTATTGCTAGTAGCTGCAGTGAATGAGCGCTAGGAAACATGACATTGGCTCTCATGGAGCTCCTAGTAAGATGGCGAGACTTATTCAAACCTGAGAATCTCCTACTAATAGAGAAACAAATGTATAACAATTTGACTACCAAATCTGAGTACTTTGGTTGGTAAGGGACAGGAAAATAGAGGAGGCACTGTAGGTTCTGGAGGGAAGTGACCGTTCAAAATGGAGTTTGAGAATCTATCTGACCCTTATGTTTAGAGCCTGGAATTGTCAAGAGTCTGAAGGCACAGGGTGAGAATATAGATAGAGCAGAATAGGCTCCAAGGGTTAAGAATCAAAATAGGTAAGGGGAAAGGGATGACAACCAAGGGATGTTCAAAGTATACACCTGAAAAGGACACAGCCTTCCTCTTGATCCATTCAGAAAATAGAGATTTGGGAGGCAGAGGGGTACATAGAGAAATTAGTTCCTCATAAAAAATATTTCATATGGTACTTCTGTGCACATACAGAATCTGAGCCCTGATGACTTACGGAAACTTTATAGGGATGGACCTTCATGGGGAAGGGGGTAGTGGGACAAGAACTGATTGTTCAATCAATAGTTACTAGAAGGTATGTGTATGACAGTAGGAGATGTACTGAATCACAGGGCAGAGACCAGCATAGCCACTAAGATCTATATATCTTGATGGCATACAATCCAAGTGGCATGAGAAATTCCTGCTATCCTCCTGAACATTAAATTCTCATAATCTGTTCATAATGGATGGTGTTAATTAGGTAAGCAGTGGTCCAAAGGTCTCAAAGAACACCTTTCTACCTCTTCTTTCTGTCAATTTCAGTGATCTTGAGACGTGGGATAAAAGAGGCGGGGAAGTGTCCAAAGGGTATTCTTTGCAAAGGGAGCCCACAAAATATCCTTTAGAGGGAGAATTGGGAGTGAGGCAGAGGTGAAAATGGCTGTTTCTGTGCAATAATTGTTCCTCTTCACCATCAATAGCTCTACCTGCTTCAATGATTTGAGGACCACCAGAGGAAGTACAGAAATTCCACAGGGAAGGCAAGGGTAGTGGCAGCCACGGGAAGAGAGCAAGGAAGGGATAGGAGGCACAAACTTGTAGAAGGAGGGCACCAAGAATACATAGATCAGCAGTGGGTTTCTAAGAGGGGTCTGAATCCCCAAAAAAATCTCCCTAAGGAGGGAAGGATAAAGCATGTAATGTTGTGTTTTTTAGCAGGAAAGGAATAGGAAATACACTAACAACAGTAATAACAAGGAAAGCCATTCTACTTTAGGGGCCCATTAATTCCTACCTTTAGTATATATCCAACTATTTGGCTCCTCACCTTCACTCAGTCAAAAGACACACACACACACACACACACACACACACGTTTGTGCCATGGTCCTCTCTTTGGGAGCCCCAGTCCCCTGGGAATTGATATTTCTTGCTTATTCAGGCCTTCCCCTCCATCCCCGACATAAAAGAGCAAGAGCATACAAAAGGCATTAAATAGACAATTAAATCACAAGGAATTAAATACAACTATCTTAAAGATTTATTAATGAAAAATACTTTACAAAAACAGTATGTTTGGCCCTAAAATAGTTTAGCTGACTCTGAGGGTTTACAATGGTGACTGTGCAAGTGGCAGTAATGGCTCTGCTGCTGAGGACAGGAAGGTGTGTTAGTGTGCCTAACTCCGTCTGTTCAGAAGGGCAAATGTTACGTTGGCAGCTCTGCATTCTAGGCCTAAGGTGTCGGGGCACAGGGAAGGCTGACCGTTCATAATACCGGGGCAAACAGGCTGCCCTGAATGATGTGGTCAGGACCATGACCACACAACTACATGTCCCTCTGAGGATGAGATATGGGGAGACAGAAGGTCAGGTAATAAGGATAGGTAAGTAAAACAAAGAAGAGAAGTTGGCAGTATACTAGGGAACACAGGATAAAGGCTCAGGTGCAGGTGGGGGCATAAAGGATCCAGGAATAAAATGGTGACCCTAAGATCCTAAGAAATGACTAGTGTCTGGGGTAATATGGATTCATCTGTAAAATTGGCTCAAATAGAGCCCAAACCGCAGTTGCTTCCTTTTGCTAGGTGAAAGAAAATTGGAATTTCAAATATTCCCTCTCAAAGAGCCAGGTCTTGTTAGGGGTTCCTAGTACCCCTAGGACACTGCCAACTCTTACGTCGAGATGAGACTAGCACAACCCTAGCAGGGATGCAGGGTGCCAGCTCCTCCACAGTACAGTTTAACAGAGAAGGCTGTGGTTCCAGGAAAGGGAAGGGGTGACCCTTACCACCTATTGTGCTGCAGGGCCCTTGCCCTTATCTGCTCTCTTCCAGGAGCATCTGCTAGAACAAATAGAAACTCCTCTCCCCCTGTTCTCCTGTGCCCAGATTGTGGGGCATAACTGCTTTGCCTCCAGTCATCATCGGGGGGCATATCTACTCTTCGAGGACCAGGGGCTCGAGACCCAGGAGTTGGACCCAAATTCCAAGCTGACCTCAGGGGTTCATGAAGATTGTTTGATGGTGGAGACACAGGGTGAACATTGGGAGGGTGGGAGGATGAATGGAAAAGATCCCCCCAGGACTGAGCATGAGGAATCTGAAGGCCCTGGCGCCTTTCTGGTAGTGTGGCAGTGTGTGTCAGTTGAGGCGTGCACCCTGGAGTACTCAGGAATCTGGCCCCAACATGCTGGTTGGTCTCTGACCATGGTCCCCAAGAGGCATCTATTCTGGAAGGATGGGGGAGACTCTGGTAGTTCAGAGTCCTTCCTGTGTGCTTGACCCCCTGGCAAGTTTCACCCCTGTCACACATAGCCAGAAACTGCTGGACACTCCTCGAAGTTCCTGAAAAGAGAAAAAGAAACCCAAATATTAAGCATCTTCAGTAAACCATTCTCCTTCCCAGAGGATCATTCCTGGCTGTACCTCTCAACTCCCCACACCTCCAAGAGCATACACCTCAGGGGAAGAAGACTAGCTTTGCTTTTAATTTCATTTTTAAGAATTCTTAATATACATCAAAATCAAATCTCTTCCCTCCTACCTGGGTAAATGTTGCCATACTTCCACTTTACTCCACTATAATTCTTCCTCCACTCCCTCCCCAGGAATGGCTCCCTAATATTGCAAATGTATACTCAGTGTAACAACTCTACTCTTAGAGCCACCACTCCAAAACATCACTCTGCTTTTTTAATTTGGTACCTTCACTCTAGTTAATCTGTTTCTGCTTACATTCTTGCTCAGTCTCTGAGATCTCTTGTTTTTGTTCACACACTCCTACCACATATATAGTGTGGAATGCCTTTTCTACACATCAATTCCCCTTTACTTAAAAAAAACAAAACAAAATACATAATTTTTAAAAATCACTTCTAAAAAATACTTTACATTCTTTATTTTATAGGCCATCAACATCTGCAATATATTTTTATATGCATGCACATTCTGATTATTTCAGCTTTGAGCTCTTAAAGAACAGAGAGCTACCTTCTTTCTCCCCTATATTCACTATAACATTTAGTGCAGAACAGGCTGCACTAAAATACTGCCTGATGGATCAGATGCCCCTAACGACTGTCAAAGGGGGCTGGCTACCTGGCTGTTCCACTGAGTGATAGAAAGTTCATCTACCCAGAAGGCCTGCTTATCCAAACCTCCCTAAAATTTGGACACATATCAGCAATACTACTCTTCTGTTCTAGAACCACAACCACTCCCTGCCCCAAGGCATTTATATCTGTAAGCCAGGGTTTCTCAATCTCAACACTACTGATATTTTGAGCTGATACTATCTGTTGGGGGGGTGGGGGTGGGTGTAGGTAAACTGCCCTGTGCTTTGTAGGATGTTTAGCAGCATCCTGGCTTCCACTTAATTGATGCCAGTAGTACCTCCTATTTCCCATTGAGAATCATTGCCTTAAGCTATAGATTCAGCCTCTTCATGTGGAAGAAAAGTAGGAAATCTTAATACAGAGGGTCAAAGAAAGCCAAAAGGATGCTACCCACCTTCCCTAGGATTGTCTGGGTCTGTATATATGGCACAGGTATTCCATACATAGGGTCTGTCCAGGTTTCCCATTCATTCCTTGTCCTCCTGACTATACCTCAGCTGAGATTCAGGGGACAGTAGGAGAGAAACTAGCTAATAGATGACAGTTTTTGTTTTGGGAGGATCCTAAAGACTGAATATTAACTCCCCTTGGTCGCTTATAAGCTTATCATGATAGAGCCAGTTCAGTTTCTAAAGATCTAGACCAGAGTCCCCCAAATCAAAGAACCATGTTGCCCAAGTAATGATTCAATCACAATTCACCTAAACCAATGATTGATCTTAAAGTGGTAATTCATATCCCTTTACCACCCACCTTGGGACTCCCCCACCCCCAATAGGTATACTGATTTGATCTTTCTAGGTCATCCCTGAAAAGTACCACATTCTGGCACATAATATTAGATTTGGGGAGAGTTACCTGGGGGTCTATGGGGCTCCCCTGTCATGCTGGGCATCAAGACATCTGGGGACAGGAACTGTGGTTGGGGTGGGTAGAGTTGGGGACCAAGGAGAAACACAGGAGGGTCATGGATGACAGGGAGGGAAGAGGAGCTGGAACAACGGTGCCCGGTTTCCAAAGGCTTTTTCCTCGCATTTGATGAATCCTTATAGTGAGACAAGACAAAAAAAACATAAAGATGAGGATTAACACACAGCAGGATATGGTTGGGTAAACACAGTGAGGCAAGCAGGGGGAGATGGAGGGGATTAGAGTACCAATATGCCTAGCTCTGGAGAGGGACCCAATTGACTCACTCTTCCCATGAGCTCCTCTAGGGACATCCAGACCACTATGAAATGGAGACACAGAACTGCAGATCCTCTTCCTTTAACCTTTCTCATAGCCCTCACTTTCCCATTCTTTAATGCTAACAGTAGAATCAGACTGAGATAGAAATTTAAAAAGAGAAAAAAATAGGAAAGAGAAAAAAAATCAGAAAGACTGAGAGACTGAAAAAGAAAATTCTATACTCTCTCTAAATATTGGGAACTAAAAATGTATCTCCTTAAATATACAATCAAGAATTCTGCTACTCCACCATCTCCCCCGTCACTGCTGTAGTGCAGTCTCCTCTTTTGCCAGTCAAGTTTGTAACCACTGATGATTGTGTCAACGACTATACTCCACTAGTCATTCACTTTTGTGGCAAAGTCTCAGAAATAGCCCCTTTAATATTTGAAACACTAATATGTCCAAAATCAAACCAACATCAGTCCAAACTCCACCTCCTGGTACCACGTGTTCCTAAGTCACCTAGATTCAAATGCTGACATTGCCCTTGATTTCGCACTTCTCATTCACGATTCCTTTAGTTGCCTTTGTCAAGAACACTCATTTCTACCTATAGGTTTTATATTTAAACTCAACTGGACCACTCCCAACAGCCTCCAATCTGATCTTCCTATCCCAGCCTGCTACTTCCTCACTGTGGCCTGTTAAGTTCCTATGTGTAGCAATGGTGATGATCTTTCTCACTTTATCTCTACCATTCCTGTGCCTTTTTCACTGTAACTTTCTTAACTTTTCCCCAACACACCAACCTCATTCCAACTCAGAGCCTTTTCACTTTCTGTTTCTGTTACCTGGAATAGTCTTCCCATGGCTCACACCATCATATCACTGACGTCACTGATCAAATGTTACTTCCTTAGAGCTGATTTGCCTCACTACTGTATCAAAAGTAGCCCTGAAAATAACCACTATTACCTCTCTATTCCTTATCCCCTTGCTTTGTTCTATTCTTCTTGATCATACATTGTCTGGGGTTTACTTGTTTATTGTCTTTCTCTCCTGGTAGAATACATTTCTTTTTACTCCAGTATTCCCAGCACCCTGAATAGCACCTGGAACATTACAGGCACCTAATAAATAATATATTAAATAAAACAATCTATATACCAGTGTATCTTATTTCCTAACCAAGTTGTAAGCTATTCAAGGGCAAAATTTGTGTTATTTCATCAGTGTATGCTCATAGCAACTACCACAGCATGGAACATAGGAAGCATTTACCATATGGCCTAAGGACCAAGTGCCAGTCCTCTCAGCATGTGACATAGCCAACTATTCCTTTATTCTGCACAGAAGAAGTGATGCCACGCTGGTTTCCCTTTTACCTCTCTGGTCCTCACTCCTTTTAGGGTTCTTCAGATAAACCATTTAAATATGATATTCATCAGAGATATATCCTTCTTATAATATTCTTTCCTTCTTCTCACAATATTCTTTCCCTCTTTTCAAAGGTTATGATTCTTGAATCTTGGTTTCAAGCTTTTATGTGTCACATCCAAAGGCCTACCAGATATCTCCACTCAAATATAGTATATCCAAAATTATACATATCTCTTCCCTCAAGTACATCATTGTCAACCAATAATTCCAGGTTATCATCCTTGATTCTCCTCTCCCCATATGAATCAGACACCAAGTCCCAATGATTTTTACTTCCTCTTTGGCTCTCCAACATGTCCACTTCTCTCTATGCTCCCAAACTTCGTACTGTGGTTCATGATATGACTCTTAGTTATATTCTTTCCAGTCTCATTTGTTAATTCTGTCCAACAGAGTCCTCGCCAGACTCTAATCCTGCCATACCAAATAAACTTTTAATTCAATGAATATCTGCTTGAAGTCCCTTTACAGACTATATTCATTTTACTTCCTTCAGGAAGCCTTCCCTGATCCCTCAAGTCTGGTTTAGATGTCCCTTCTATTATGCTTCCATAGCATTAAATCCTATCATATTATAATTCTTTTATTTATCTGTCTCCCCAGGTAGACTGTAAGGGCCATGACAGCAGGGACTACATCTAGCTCACTCACCACTATATCCCCAGCACCAGGCACAATACCTGGAACATATGCTCAATAAGCATTTGTTTAAAAGAATGAGTCAGTGAATAAATAAATGGTATAGGAATCAGGAGAAAGAAAGCCAGCTCCCTAGAAGAGTAACAATTTGCTATTAAATTCACTAACAGTACATGAGAACAAATGTGAGGCAGACAAGACCACCTTCCCCAAAAAGAATGGCAAGATGTTCACAGTTGTTTAGGAACTTATGAACAATAACTTGGAAAAAATGACTGCTGTTTGGGAGGGAAAGTGGATCTGAAGGACTAGTGGAACAGAGACTTGGTTTTCTCTATGTACCCTTTTGTACCTTTTTATTTTTATATCATGTATCTAAAAAAAATTTTTTTTAATCTTTATCAAACTGACCTAGTGAACAAGCTTTAATGCACTAGAGCTTTGCATCCTAACCTCCATTGTAATGAAAACTCAATTTGCTTGGGCAAGTATGTGAAATTCTCAAAAGCATAATTTATAAAGCCAGCCACTGAAACTATCTGACTTTGTTGATCTCTGTTGACTTGGTTGTCCCTTTCACCTACAGATCACTGCATTAATTCCATATGAAAAGCCTCAAGGAGGAAGATTTTAAATCCCTTTCCTTTTCTTGCCAAGCACATGCTTTATTTTAGCATGAAAGCATACTAGATCCCATTCAATCATATACTGGAGTGGGGAGGAAAAGGCAAAAAAAAATATCTCATCCCATCTCTTCCCTTCCTTTGATTAGTACAATGGGTTTTGATCCAATCAGCAGCCATTGATTCTCACTCAGACTTCTCTCAAGGCTAATAGGACTCTTCTCACCCTAGGGAACCCTTTAATATGCCTTCCAGAACTGCTCTAGGGAAGGGACATCCCTCTGGGCTCTAACAAAATGTATGTCAATAAAGTAATGACTATGTGTCATCATTTTTGCTGAGTGCACATGGCTTTCCCCCAAATTACAGCTTTTAATTTCCCCTGCCCCTTCACATATAGTGTATTTTTACCTAGCAAAAGAAAGAGAGTGCTCTGAATAGAGACCCTGATTCTACTTACAAAACTGTGGGAAGAGACTGGAGCCTCGTCCCTCTCTGAGACAACTGTGCCACTGAGACTGCGTGAGATGCGGTGAAAGTTCTCTGCACCGTACTGATCATCCTCCCCATACTCCCTGCTGGGGCCTCGGCAAGGTGCAGCCTTCAAACACACAGACATACAGAGGCAGACACAAAACACCAGACCTATGGTTTTCCCACAGACCCTGTCCCCAGGGGTATGGGAGAAAATAGGGTAAGACTCACTAGTACAGACCTGAATTAATGTATTTGAAAGGTAGTGGCCATATGACAATCTTTTCTCATTCAAAAGAAGCCCCATCATTAACCTTGTTCTCTTCTAACAGCCCCACATTACCATATCCCTGCTTTACCACCAACTCTACCAGTTATATCTTTCCACACTTCCTGTCCCAATGCACCACCCCATGCCAGCACTTTAGGACCTGAGGCTGCTACCTGAGAAGCAGGCACTGTGCTGGCTTCATGGAGACTGTGCTCCATTTCTGCTGTTGGGGTCCTTGAGAGACCCAGGCCAGGGGCTGAGTGCAACCTCCTCCCCACACCATCTGCAGAGCCTGAGGAGGAAAACATAAATACAGGTTGAAGCCATCTCTTCTCCCAAAGCCTAACTTCAGCATGAGAGCAAGAAACTCAGTTCTTTTTTCATGAAATAACAAATAAGCATCCCTAAATCCAGTGAAGGATGTACTCCTGAGATGTAGAAACAGGAGTTTCAGAATACGGATAGTTTCCTATAGGCCACAAGAGTCTCAGAACACAGGCTTTAAAGAATATTGTTATAGAAGGGGCTCTGTGGACAGACAACTGAATGTCCCCATCTTGCCTTGTTTCATTTATGTAAGCACAATCAGCTTTACTTCTCTCAGACTTACGCCCAAGACTTAAAATATATACAGAGGAAATCGTCCAACAAAGTTGTTCTCTAGAGCATCTGTGATGACAAAGGGAACATTATCTTCTGTCCAGTTAGAAATTGAAATGAACACAGTAATCATCTATCAAACCTCCTCATATTATATAACAGGAAAATGAGTTCCAGGGTCTGAAAGGTAGTAAGTAGATTAACCAGAATTAAAATTCAAGTCTCTTGATTTTCACTTCCTATTACTATGAGTAGGAGCTCTTCAACAATATTTTATATGTGTAATGCTCTTTTATTTCCCCATTGGCTTCTCTCAATCACTAAATGCTTAAATTCTGAACCATTACTAAATGCTTATCTCTTCCTCAACATCTTGCTAGATTATTAAGAGCTGCTCCAAACTGGATATGTGACTCCCAAGGGGCTCGCCCCAATACAACTAATTAAGTCTTCCATTCTGAAAATGCACATGCCCTTGACCTACATTTGGTGTATATGTCTATCACCAATTCATATCTTGATTTGGTATTTTGATTCTAATATATGTATCTGGCTAAAGGAGGATATTCCTGATACTAATCTAAAAGATCAAGCTAAATATTACTTTTAGTATTTCCTGGTACTTAAATGCAGAGGTTCCAATACCACCTGAGATTCATCTAGGAGCTTTTAAAAATACAGATTCCTGTACCTCTCCACAGCCCTGCTGAATCAGAATCTTTGTGGTGTGGAGTCTGGGAATATTTCTTTTTAAAAGCTTCCCCAAGGGGCACCTGGCTGGCTCAGTCAGTGGAGCATATGACTCTGGATCTCAACGTTGTGAGTTGGGAGTAGAGATTACTTAAAAGTAAAATCTTTAAAAATCAATAAATAAAATAAAATAAAACAAAACAAAACAAAAGGATTCCCTGAAAAGCATAGGAGAATATCCTCAAACATTGTTGAAGAAAATTTGAAATTTTATAGTCTTCTTAAAAAGCTGTTTAGAAATATCCATTAAAAATGAAATATATTTACCCTTTTATCCAACAATCCTACTCCTGGGAATAAGAAGCAAAAATACCAGTTTACTGAGGCATTATTTAAAGTGGCCAAAAAACTAGAAATAAAGTAACACCCATTTATAGCAGGATGGCTAAATACACTATGGTATTTTCAATAACAAATATTGCCCAGGGGCACCTGGGTGGCTCAGGTGATTAAGCTTCTGACTTCAGCTCAGGCCATGATCTCACAGTTCCTGAGTTTGGCCCCACACACGTTGGGCTCTGTGCTGACAGCTTAGAGCCTGCTTCAGATTCTGTGTCTCCCTCTCTCTCTGCCCCTCCCCCTCTTGCACTCTGTCTCTCTCTCAAAAATAAATAAACATTAAAAAAAATTAAAAATATTGCCCAGCCACTAAAAATAATGAATTGAGTTAAACTAGATGACTTAGAGGGATTTTCATAAAGTATTGTTAAGTTAAAAGGGAAAAAATTGGGGCATCTGGGTGGCTCAGTTGGCTAAGCACCTGACTCTTGATTTTGGCTCAGGTCATGATCTCCTGCTCATGAGATCGAACCCTGTGTTGGGCTCTGCACTGTGCACAGCCTGCTTGAGATTCTCTCTCTCTCCCTCCCCTACTCATGTGCACGCTCTCTCTCTCAA